TGTTGTTTTCCTTTTTCTTTCTTTTGCTTTTCATGTATTCTCCCAATTTAATGACTACTGTGCTCATTTATTGTAACTGTGTGTGTGTGTGTGTGTGTGTGTGTGTGTGTGTGTATAGTACCCATGTGGAATATTTTATGTCCCTTATATTATTACTTAAAATGCTAAAAAACATTTTGTTGCAGAAGAAATGATAGCAGAAATTAAGTATAAACTTACAGAATATGGCATTTGCATAGAAATGAATACATGTAGATTTATGCATAAAGAGAACTCTGATTATCCAAATCATATTGCAAACTCAGTTTTATTTTCTAATCCCAGAGCTATTAGAATATATAGTACATGCTGTTGTGCCATTTATTTCAAAAGACTTGAACTTTTTTTCCTTCCATAAATCTACAGCATTTTAATCACTGCCTGTATCTCACACTCTCCCAAACATTGTGACATAAAATGAATCAGAGATGGGCAACACAGACATAAAGTGTATGCAGACAGTAGGACAAGGGTAGTGAGCAAATAGATGAGTGAATGAGAGCTGGTGTGGGGACGTATCTGTGTGTTGGAGGCAGTCTCTCTTCCTGATGGTCTTGTCTCCCTCAGCATTCCACATTTGACTTTGAAGGTTGTCCTCAGGGTGACGTGAAGCAGTAGAATGAACACCAGGCATAGTACCTGGCATGGAAGTGGTAACTCAGATGTAGAAGGTTTTGCTGACTTTATTTATTGCATGAGGAAATGTAGACTCGTGATGGTTCACTAACTTGCCTGGGTTGTCCAGCTGGTCAGTTGTAGAGAGATATTCCCTGCTAAGGTCTCTTAGATGACCCTTCCAGCCCTGCCCTTTACAGTACAAATTCTTTGCTCACCTTTTCTACCATTTCCATGGCTGAGGCTGGGATGTGGTCAAGTATTTGAAAATAACAGCGTACAGGAGTGCTGCTCTGTCTTAGGATGTTTTACCATGCCTCCTCCAGGAACAAGTTTCTTCCTAGTGAGAAGACATCCAGCATGGTGGCCATGATGGCATTTTTTGAGAGGATTAATCTACCGTTTGAAGATTAGAGAGCACAGGTTTTTATGGCTTTATAACTTGAGAGGCTGATGTCTTGTCCTCTTAAAAATACCTGTGAAAATTTGCAAAGGATTTACTACTTACTTACAAAGTAGGCACTAGTGAGAGTTTAATTAAGTGAAAATGACATTTTCAAGGGCAATTTAAGAAAGGCATTAGAAACTGCTGTCAATGAAAAGGAGGGGTTGAACCTTGACTACTGTCTTTATAGACCCTGTGTTGAAGAATATCTTGAGTTTCCTGACCAGCAAAAGACACATTTTGACTCCTTGATAACAACTCACTTTAGGTATAAACTCTTTTCCTGAAGACTTCATACAGTAGTATCTTTTAGAGTGCTATGGTCAAAATTTTATTCTTAAACTATGGCTGGTGCCCCCTTAAAATTTTTTTTTTTTTCATATTTTTCAGCATGTTGCTTCTCTACTCAGAGACTGACTCTGAATTACTGCCCTACACCATTCTGCCCAACTTTGCAAGTGTGTGCAGCCATCCTCCTGTTTCCTGTGGACGCGAATTGTGTTCTCCTAAGCTGGAATTCACGATTTTGTAGCGTGACGTGCTACAAAAGCTTGCCCTTTCCAACCTTATTTCTTGTCCTGCGTCCTCTGCTTTAGCCAGCTTGGTCCCCCTTCACCCTCCCCACCCTCTCAGACATTGATGATTGATTGGTAATGCTTATCCACTGGGGATGGACTTGCTTTTTTGGTAGAACACTCTGGGAGTTGGAATGTGAGATAAAAATCTGTTTTCCATTTCTGGCCTTTCCTCTTCTTGAGTTTCCCTGCCTTATTTTACCATTTAGTCGACTGGTTCCTAACGGTGGCTGCCCATTAGAATCATCTGAGGTGAGGGGAACATAAAAACGGACAGTGGCTGAAGCATTCCCCAGACTATTTAAATCAGAACCTTGGGAGGGTGGGGTATCTTATTAAAAGCTCCCCAAGTGATTTTAATGTGCAGAGAGGGTTAAGAAGGGCTGATTGATTCTGTGATCTAGGCCAAGTTACTTAATCTCTCTGGGCCTCAGTGTCTTCTATGAAATGGGGATTACATGCATTTATTGCTTGGGCTTCCTGGGAGGAGGATGTGAGATAATGCACGGGAATGAATTCTAGGAGGGCGTAGTCGGCGTTCTGTCCATGTTGGCCGTTGCTATTGCTGTTCGTCTGTGTGCTCAGCTCTCACATTCCCTCCTGACTATTCCTACTTGTACTTTAAAGCTCAACAGAAACCTCACTTGTTTGCTGATGACCACACATACAAATTAAGCTCCTGTAACACCGAGACCTAAAAATGAGTGTTCAAGTGAGACGGGGTGGTTTCTGTTTCATGTGATAACCCAGTAACAAGCAGTCCAGGCCTGACGGTGCTGCTCCGCACCGGCCCTTCAGGACTCCTGACCCCCATGTTGCCGGGCCGTTGCGTGTCCATCTTCCAGCCCACAGGAAGTGGGCCAGAACTATAGATTCAGCCACATGGATTGGCCTGAAGTTGGAGGTTGCTGACAATTTCCTCTCCCATCCCATCTCTTTGACCTAAACAAAGTCCCACTGAGCTACAAGAGAGGCCCTAACTGGGTGGCCAGGTGTTCAGCTAAACGGTGGAATGAAGGGAGATGAGAACTGAGAGAAGGGCAGGGGGCCTGAGAAGTCTAGGCCACTGCACTCAGCTTCTTCCTCTTCTTGCCTGCACATCTGTGGTCTGTTGTTGCCAGACCGTATTCTGTATTGCACAGTATGTTAACTACCCTTTCTGTTGTGTGAGTTTTAGTTACATTCTAGACTCCCTCGAGGTAATGATGGCTTTGTATTCCTGCAGACACACTTCTTAGGAGGGTGCTAAAAGCATTACAGATGCTCATGTAGGTGCAGTCTTTGTTGAAAGAACCAGTGGCAGATTTTTGTTTTTTTTATGATTTTTTGTAACAGCTTTATTGAGATAATTTGCGTACCATACAGTTCATCCATTTAAAGTATACATTTCAGTGGCTTTCAGTATGTTCAGAGTTGTGCTACCACATCACCACAATTTTAGAACATGTTTTTCACCCCAGAAAGAGATCCTGTACTGTGAATTTTCACTACCCCCTCCCAGCCTCTACTTCCCCCAATTCTAACCCACCACCAATTTACTTCTCTCTCTATAGATCTCCCTATTCTAGACATTTCATATGTATGAAATTATTTGTCTTTTGTGACTGCCTTCTTAGACTCAGCTTAATGTTTTTAAGGTTCATCCATGTTGTCACATGAAGCAATATGTCATTCTTTTTTATGACTGAATAATAGTCACATGGCTGTGACACATTTTGTCTATCCATTTATCACTTGATGAACATTTGGGTTTGTTGCCACTTTTGGCTCTTAAGAATAATGCCACTGTGAACATTTGTGTATAAGTTTTTGTGTGGACAGAACATTTTCATTTCTCTTGGGTGTGTACCTATGAGCGGAATTGCTGGATCATATGGTAACTCTTATTTTTAGCTTTTTAAGGAACTTCTAGACTGTTTTCCCGAATAGCTGCACCATTTTAGATTACCACCAGCAGTGTTTGAGGATTCTGATTTCTGCACATCCTTGCCAACACTTGTTACTATCTGAGTCTTTAATTATAGCTCTTTTACTGGCTGACATGCTGTGCCACTGTGGTTTTGATTTGCGTTTCCCTGATGACTAATGATGGTAAACTTTCTTTTTCTTGTCAGTGGCAGATTTTCTGCCCACTACACATATGTGTTCCTAGGTGTGTGATAACCACCCTGTTTTTGCCTGGATATTCCTAGGAATCTGACATGTTTTTATCAATAGAAAGTGCCTGAAGCGTTATCAGAATGGAGGGGTGGTGTGTGTGTGTGTGTGTGTGTGTGTGTGACATTCTTTTAGACTTGGCCTCTCACACTGGAAATCTTATGCTAAGGTCCTCTTTTTAATTCTGTTTCACCAACAACATGGAAAACGTTATTAATGCTGACTTAAAAGTTTGTTTGGCAGATAACCCTGAAAAAAACCACAACAATATTGCAAGAGGGTATGACAAAGGGCAGCGTAAATACTCTAGGATTATTTGGCTGTTACTGTGTTTTCATGGTCCTCACAACTGCCTTCTTTTTCCATATTGGTTCCATTCTTGAAAAGTACCTGGAGAAGCTGTACATTGAATATGATTTTCTCGTTGACTTGCATGACGCCCACAGCATTGGTGTGTGGGCAGTCCTGAGGCTCTCAGTGTTGAGCAAGTCCATAAGGCCCTTGGAGGTGTAGCAAGGAGTAAGAATTTGTCATTTCAGTCTTCATTATTGACATTTGAGATTCCCTGTGCTGAACGTGAAGGTGGTGGTGATGGTACTGGTGGGCCTTTTAATAGCTGGGAACAGTGTGGTGGTAATAATCTTGACTAGATGATAGAGGCCTGGCTTGAACATGTAGCATACCTTGCATATGGGAGATGCTTAATGAGTTTTCCTTAATCACTGGATGAATAAAGCACTTCATCTCTGTAAACCTCTGTAAAACGCATCAGGGAAACATCAGCAATTTGCTGATAGGGCTTCAGAAGTCCTTTGCAACTGTAAAAATTTCTGGTACAATGATTGTATTTCTAGCTTCCCAAGTCAAAAAACAAAATACACACCATTCTTTTCAAGGTGCCCAGTATATATCCCTCAGGGTCTGTGAGTGAGTTATGTATGTTACCCACTGTTGTCCCCGGCTCCTTTTGGTGGGCAGAGAGCTTCCTGTTCGCATGAACCCTGGGGCTGGAGTGACTCAGTTATAGAAATTAAATCACTTTTTTTATAATGCCAATGTAAAGTGGCCCTTAATGAATATTTGCCAAGCTGAGAATGACCGGTGAGGTCATTTTTAATGGGAGATTATATTTCACCATGGCTGATTTCTGTCCGATTTATTGCTATTAGCTCCTGAAGCCAGGCCAGCTGATGGAAGTGCTGGCAGGAGTTTCGTCTCCAGGCTGAGCGCAGAGATGGAGTCCGTTCCCAGATGGCGAGGAACAGCTGGGCCAGTGGCGTGCACACGTGGGTGCTCTGCAGGGGCCATCCGATAACGGGGTTGCATGTTCCTATCAGGTGTTCTGAGAGAAACACTGACTTGTCCTACACACAAAATGCAATCACTGGAGACCCTTTATCTTTTGAGAGGAAATATATGTGGGGTGCCTTTTGGCGGAATCGAGCCCTCACTCGTGTAGATGGTTATCTAAGCTTTTGGCAAAGGAAGTGGACGAGGAGACTAAGCTCAGTTCCCTAAAACTTCCTGGGGTGAGGTTTCTGAGATTTTTTTTTTAACCTACTTTTTTCTTTACTTTCCTTCCCCCTCCCTATAAAATAGCTCTGAGAGAATCAGACATCCTTAACCTCTCAGATGCATATTCCGTTCTAGATCCAGAGTTAATGGTACTGTTTTATAAGTATGTTCTCCAGTGTTCCACACTTGAAAACAAGTGCCATTTCAAACACTAGTCATCCTTGTTATAATTAATATACAGAAAACTGAGTGTTGACAGAGGAAGCTGTCTTCTTGGTAAGGTCAGCTTTCACTCTGAAGTAACTGTTCTGTGTGGGACTCACTTATGACCACCTCCCCCTCCCCTTCTCTGTCCCCTCCACGTCCTCACTTTATCATCATTGCCTAGGATTATGGACTCAGGTTTCTTAAATACAACGCCACCTAGGAGCCTTGATAGAATCAGGATTAAGGATGACACCTGGTTACAGCCTCCTCTTTTTTTTTTTTTTAAATATATATGTATATCTCTTGATTTCTCTCTTGTTCAGCAGTAAAGAGCAGTTGTTACTAACTTGAAGTTAGCATCGGTGAGTGTTTCATGAGGCAGCATGGTTAGTAGTTGACGATGCTTTGAATAAGCACACGACAGTCTCTCCGTGTATGTGTGTTGAAGTGGGCAGCTAAAACGTAGAGGGATCCTTGTACGGTACCCAGTGAGTCTTGCATCGGATGTAAAATGTGATGACATACATGCTGTATTTCTCACAAAACTCTTTTTAAAATCCAGTAAGGTGTGAATATAAGTAATTCACATGGGGGATAGGCCATGTCCTGCTCCATGCGTCCAAAATGACTCTTCTTTGATTGCTGCACCTTCCTGCCATTTTTCCTTATGTCAAACCCAAATTCCTTTGCCTCTATTGATGTGCAATCCAGAACTTGAAATGCTTGGTACAGTTACTAGACATGAGGATCTCCTACCCCCTTTCTTCTGTCTCTCTTGCTCCCTTCTCTGGAACTTGAGCTTTTCACTCCTTTGTTATATTCGTCCATCTGTTTGTTGAGAAGAGTTCTGTGCATCTGGCAGTGTGCCAGGTGCTGTGTTGGGCACTGGGCCAAAGCACCGAGGGGCCTGTCCTGCTTTCCAGGGGGCTGGCTCAGGTAACGTGTATCTTGCTCTGTCATATGAGGACCCTCCACCCCCACACCGTGAGGGCGCAGCCCATGTCTTGTAGGGATACAGCTTTGACATTTCAGCACGTGGCAGGCAGCAGGCGTTTGAGAGACAGTCCTGGTGACTGTGGGCTGAGTTTGGAGGTACGTGCTGAGGATTTTAAAGTTTCCCCTTTCCAAGCTATAAGATGAGGTCACTGCCTTCCTTTTCAGGAGGCTGTGGTTAGTATAAAATGTAACCATGTATGTGCCAGCACCTTAGGAAGGCAGGTGATACCTCCGGGGAAGTTAGCACCCATTTTCATTTCCTACATCACCTATTTCTGTCCTCAACTGTCTCTGAGCCTGTCTGTGCCCTCCTTCCTTCCTCAGAGGCAGGCAAGCAGGAGTAAAAGTCCTCAGTGTGTCTGATTCCATCTCTTTGTCTCTGTTGCTTCCATGTATTTATTGAAAGTGCCACTGGTTCAGCACATCTCTCCCTCAGCATATATGCCTATGTGGGGACTGTCACGGAGAACTTGACTCCACACTTGACAGGGACACCTGCTCTGTGTGTGTTTATGACCTCTTTTGCCACTTCTGTTCCTTCTGCACACGTGTTGTTCCTGAGTGGTGAGCATCTTTGAGCATAAGAAAGGGTTTTTTTTCTTTTCTTTTTAAAAAAAAATTTTTTTTTACATTTATTTCTTTTTGAGAGACAGAGAGCACAAGTTAGGGAGGGGCAGAGATCGAAGGAAACACAGTATCCGAAGCAGGCTCCAGGTTCTGAGCTGTCAGCACAGAGCCCGACGCGAGGCTCTGACTCACAAACTGTGAGATCATGACCTGAGCCGAAGTCGGACGCTTAACTGACTGAGCCACCCAGGCACCCAGGGTTTTCTTTTTTTCTTAATGTTTGCTTATTTTTGAGAGAGACAGAGTGTGAACCAGGGAGGGGCAGAGAGAGAAGGAGACACAGAATCTGAAGCAGGCTCCAGGCTCCCAGGTGTCAGCCCAGAGCTCATTGTGGGGTTGGAACTCAACGAGCTGTAAGATCATGACCTGAGCCTAAGTTGGATACTTAACTGACTGAGCCACCCAGGTGCCCCAAGAAAAGTGTTTTCTTAGGTTAAACCCAATATCCAAGCCCCTGCTGTACTGTGTGGGTCCAGGTGACTGATCAAACAGCACAATTTTCACGCCTAGGCTGTCTGCCTTTTGTGTAATACCTGGTTGACAATGCTATACGGTCAGTGCAGAGGTGAAGTCTTTGGTGAAAGACACACTTGGGCTGGTTTGGGAGGGTAAGGGGTGAAACTGAATCCTGAACAGTAGTAAGAGCTGAGCTTCTTTGCTTACGTGATCATCTTTCTTTTCCCCTTGCCCTTTTACCATGAAAAAATTTGACACTGGGAGAAAGAACATCAGGTGAATGTCAGAGAGAAGAAGCTTCCGGTAACATACTGTGGCAGAATCCAGTCCCTTTTTTGAAAGTGCTTAATATATAGTAAGCTAAATCTCCCCTGAAAAGCGGTAACATTAACCTTTTTTGACCTGAATTTTTGTTTTTTAACCAACCTTATATTGCAGGGTCTTTCTCTAGGTAGCAGTGTCTTCTGTGTACAGACTAATAAAACGTCATTGAATGAGTTTTCGTCTTTGTGATCGAAACAAAACGGGGAGCTTTCCTCTTAGATGTGCTGAGACCCCTTAGGACCTGGGAGGTGATGGGGGGGTTGTGCTCAGTTTCCTGGGAGTCAGGTTACTGGTGGTTGGATTTAGGGAGTAGCTCCATCACCTCCCCGGGAAGGCCAGCACTTTCTATTTCTTCCTTTCATGGATCCCTCCAACCCCAGAGCCTCAAGCCATTTAACTCCACTTCTGGATGGCATTGCTTATGCAAACTCGTCACTCTGTAACTAAATAGAAAACCCATCATAAATTGATGGAATTGCAAAGAAAACCCTTATGGATTAATTGACGAACTGCCAGGTGGAAGAGAAGGAAAAACGCTGCTCCAGCACAGGTCTCTCTGCTCAGTCTGGTTGTCTGTGAGCTGAAGAGTCAGCGGGGAGAGGGGAAGCAGGTGCAACAGGTGTGTTTATTCAGTCAGCCGGCACTTACTGAGTGCCTGGTGATGGGGTATGGAGACATAACCTTCCCATCACCGCCTTACATCCTAGGAGGCAAGTGGGCACATGTGGAGGACAGAACGAGATCACTCACTGCTGTGAGAGAGACTTGAGAGGGAGGCAGCACTAAATCCTAACTAAATTCTGGTTTGGCATGGGAAGGAGGGATTGGGCCTAATTCTTCCGTGGGTGAATCTTGAGCTGGGTCTTCAAGGGCGTGGCTTTAACCAGGTAGCGAAAGGGTAGGGGTAGAGGAGTGTCTGCAGGAGTCCTCAAAAAAGTCATTTCATCAGATCTTTGCAGCAACTAGGATCCTCATTTTGTGACTGTCTTGGCGTAGCAAATATAGGGGTCTGTGCCTGTTTTTGAAAACAAAGTTTTATTGGAATACAGCCACGCCCATTCATTTTCCTATTATATGTGGTTGCTTTCCTGTTATAATCCACAGTGGCATAGTTGTGGCAGAGACAGTGTGGCCTGCCAAGCCTCAAATATTTACTCTCTGGTCCTTTGGAGAAAAGGTTTGCCAACCCTTGGCATAACATATTGTTATTCCTTGAAACTCTTTGTGGAAAGGACCCACGCTGTCAGCAACCAGGCTTTCCTTGCAGGCCTTCGTGGACTTATTGGTTTATGTTACCATCTGGTGATTTCTGTTCACTCCATGGTACCATACCTCTAACTCTATAGTCTCTAGTTTCCATAATTTCTGGCTCTGGATGTCTGGAACTGGTGTAGTGCTTATAGTGTGTGAAAGAAGGGGGGAATTTCTCCGTAATCATCCCTCTAAATGTCTGATTGCCCCGACCCCCAGCTGTTTCAGACTCTGCTGTCTTGGATCCTGTGCTATTCATTTGCTTGGTAAATGTTACCAAGCAAAATCAGAGACAAAAATAGGATAAGTAGTCACTGCAAAGTGCCTCTGTCCTTTGGTGAGGCATTTGTTAGTGGATTCTGAGGCTGGCTGTCCCCTTACAAGTGAGAAAGGAGGAGAGCTATAGGGAGATGTACCACCTCAAGCCTGCATTTATCTCAAAAACGCAGAGAATGCTTTTCTAGAAGATCTGTGCTTTTGAAATATCGCTTTCTTAGATAGAGTATAAGTGGCATGGAATTATATAGCGAATGCCAACTTTTTAAGCACTCACTGTGGTCTGTGGCGAGAGTCAGCTGTTGGGAGTGCCAGACTAGACTTTGCACAAATATTAACTTACTTAATAAGAGCTGGATGAAATAATGGTACAGTTATTTCAGTGCTACAGACGGAGAAACAGAGTCTCTGACAAGCTAAGTATCGTCCATGTTCACTACTAAATGACGCTGCCTCCAGTCCATGAGAAGGAGGGTATTTATTTTATGCTATAGTTATCCACGTGGCGGGTGGAATGGTGATGAGAACACTGAATCAAGAGGTGAAGAATCTGTTTCAGACTGTCAGAGGAACTAATTTTCAAGGGACAGGTACAATTTCTGTTTTAGCCCCAGCAGCCACCAACATTGTTTCAACAGCACAGTCAAACAATACTGTAGTTTGGGATCTAATTTCTCATTAGTACTTTGAACAGAAAATTGTCAGCCATAAGTAATCGTGACATTTTCCAAACGTGTCTGGAAAATACAGTTGGTCCTCAAAGAGAAACATGTAGTTTTAGAGCTGTCCCAGTTTCCAGCTAAAATGATCATTCCTAAACATAAGTCTGATCTTAACTATTCCTTTCTTAGAAGCCTTCAGTGCCCTGCCCTTCCCTTCCCTCAGCTTCAAGTCTTTATCAGGGCAGGAACGCCTGGGCGGCTCTGTCCATTAAGCATCTGACTTTGGCTCAGGTTATGATCTTGTGGTTCATGAGTTCCAGCCCCACAATGGGCTGTCTGCTGTCAGCACAGAGCCCACTTTGGATCCTCTGCCCCCCTCTCTTTTTGCCCCTCCCCCTGCTCGCTCGCTCAATCTCTCTCTTTCTCTCAAAAATAAACACTTGAAAAATAAATAAAGTCTTTATCAGGGTGCTTGCTTGAAGTCTTTCTGGTTTGGGCCCTGCCTGATTTCCTTTCTGACCACTCAGTACCTCCCATTTCTCCATTCGACTCAGTGCGCGTCCTTGCATTTGGAGCCTGTTCCTTGAACACCATCTCTACCTTGCCCCTTCACCTGGCATACTCCTGCTTCATCTTCTTATCTCCACTAAGATGTCACTAGATCCAGGAAGTCGTCTTTGACCCTAGAGACTAGGGTGGGTGTCCTTCCCTTGGCCCGCCCCAACATAATGTCTATTACACTGTTGTTCAGTGGCTTACTTGTTTCTCTGTGGTCCACCACTAAACAGTAAGTTTTTAAAGGCGTTCTTTTTTGTTCTGACTCTTGTCATCAAAAGGAATAGGAATCCCCTAGAGCTAGCTAATAGAAAGGGAGTTTACTGTGAGGAAATATTTGAAGCATAAGAAGATCTTTGCAGAAATGTAAGAACCACGTCCAGAAGATGCTGTACCTTGCTGATGTGTCTGGTGGCTTTCTCCTCCTCTATACTACCGTTCTATTTACCTATTTTTTGCCAGCTTCTCAGCTCAAGCACATGTCACGAAGGTATTCCTGACCTCAGTTTGTCTGCACAGCCTGACATGGCCCTGGTGGTCCCTCCCAATCTCATGGCTTCATCTCCTGCTCTCCACTTGTTTGGTTTCTCTTACCAAGTTGCAAATTTCCAAGCAAACCCTCTGATTGGTGTAGCTCACCCGTTCAGGCTGGGCCACATGCATCATAGGTCTCTGGCCATCCTACAGGTGGGCTGTTCTTGGGCCAGGTCCTCACTGCAGGCCAGCTGGACCTATTGGCAGCTGGAGAGCTTCCACAGGTCAGAGCATGGCTCCCGGTATAGACTTCCTGTTTCTGTTTCTTTCCCTGCCCATTGCTTACAAAGATGGTAGGTTTGTGTTTCATAAACTTCATGGTATCCTTTGTTCTGTTTCATCTTTACAGATATCATTAATGGAGCTCAAGAAAAATGTGTATTGCCTCCTATGGATGGCTACCCTCACTGCGAGGGGAAAATCAAGGTAAGGCCCAAGTAATGTCTATTGATTCCCTTTACCTTTTGTCTTCACTAACACCCTCTTCCTCTCCTCCCCTCCCCTCTCTCTAACTCCCCAGCAATACAGATGGCAAGCAAGCCCTTTAAGGGAGTCATCGAAGGGATGCCTCAATTCTGCCAGTTTGGGGCTGTGGCCATGACAACCCTTGTGTGCTTATGCCAACTTCATGGGGTCAGTCCACAATGGCTCTAACTGGTCAGAGTGAAAGAGCCTGGGCCACTTCAGGCTCCTGCTGTGTCTTTGAAGCTGCCTCCCCCTGGCTTTCCCAACCTCCAGCAGGTGATCCTTCAAGGGCCATTGACAAGGAGCTGCCATTATATAGAGCCCAACTTCCCTTTCCCCCAGTCCCCAGGCCCCCCTGCCACGAGGTCTCCAGATTGTGATTTAAATGTCACATTTGCATTTGCAGCTGAGTAACCTGAGACATTTGGACACTCTTTCACTCTTAGGATTTTTTTTTAAAAAGTTCTTTTTATATGGCCTGCCCTGAGGGAGACCACAACCCTACTCACTCGTTTTCAGAGAAAAGTCTTGGTTCCAGTGTATGCTTAGGATGATGAGCGCAAACCCCAGAAGCATTAACATGGTTCCTCTGTGGGACTCACACATGCCATGCACACCTGGCACGCCTGCTCTCATTCACGCTGTCTGTTCCAGGACCTCTCCTGTGGCTTATGCACCTGAAGCTCTCTGGTCGAAAGGGGTTTTGATTAGGCAGTTGCTCTTGATAAAACTCACCTGGCCACTGCCTGTCCTGGGCTTTACTGCCTGGTGGTCTCACGGCCTTCCTCCACCCTGCGCACCTCTGCTAAGGCCCAGCTCAAGCCAGCGTCTACCTGTGAATCATCTGGAAACTGGGCATCTGTTGTCCTGACCTCAGCTCACTGACAATGAACCTCAGGCCCCAGTCTGAGCCATTCACTTCTCCTTGCCCTTCATAGCCTTCTCTGTCATGGGATGTACAGGGCCACCGAACATGGTCTGCTTGTAGATGTCCTTACCTGGCTCTTGTTGTTTCAGTGGATGAAAGATATGTGGCGCTCGGATCCCTGCTACGCAGACTACGGAGTGGATGGGTCCACCTGCTCTTTCTTTATTTACCTCAGTGAGGTGAGTTGCTTCTTTGGCTTCAGGGTGTGGAAGTAAGTGGTGAGCCTGTTGTTCAGCCTGAAATTTGTGTATTGTTTTTACATAGTGGACCTGTCGTTCCCTTCTTTAATAGGTTCCCTGCTCTTTAATAGGGTGATTTTTTTTCCCTTGAGGGAAAAAAAAAAAAAAACCCGGGCTAATGTAGCTATTTACATTTTCTTTCCTCAGTTAAAAACAATCTAGTAAAATAGGGGCACCCGGATGGCTCAGCTGATTGAGCATCTGACTCTTGGTTTTGTCTCAGGTCATGATCCCAGGGTCATGGGATCAAGCCCCATGTGGGGCTCCAGGCTGAGCCTGTTTGAGATTCTCCCCCTCTCCTCCTGCCCCTCTCCCTTCCTCCCTCTCTCTCTCTCTCAAAGTAAAAAAAACAAACAATCTAGTCTAATACATGTAACATAAAATTTGCCATCTTGACCATTAAGTGTATAGGTCAGTGGAATTAAGTATATTCATATTACGATGCAACCATCACCACCATCCACCTTCTGAACACGTCATCTTGCAAACCTGCAACTCTACCCATTAAACAATGACTCCCCATTCCCTCTTCCTCCTGTCCCTGGAAACAACCATTCTAATTTGACTTGTGACTACTCTGCCTGTGACTACTCTCATTATTCATATAATTATACAGCATTTGCCTTTCTGTGAGTGCCTTATCTATGCATCATGAACTCAAGATTCATCCGTGTCATATTATAGCATATGTTGGGCTTTCCTTCTTTTTTTAAAGCTGAATAATACCACATTATATTATATACCACATTTTGCTTATCCATTTATCCATTGATGGATATTTGGGTTGCTTCTACCTTCTAGCAATTGTGAATAATGCTGCTATGAACATGGCTGTACATCTCAGTCTTTGAGACCCTGCTTTCGGTTTTTTTGGGTGTATATCCAGAAGTGGAATGGCTGAATCATATGGTAATTCTGTTTTTATTTTATTGAGGAACCACGACACTTCTCCAAAGTGGTTGCTCCATTTACATTCCCACCAGCAAGGCATGAGGCTTCTAGTGTCTTCACATCCTTTCCAGCCCTTGTTGTTTTCTGTTTTTTGAAGTAACCGTGCTAATGGATGTGAAGTGGTAACTCATTGTAGCTTTGGTTTGCATTTTCTTTTAAAAATTTTTACAATTTATTTATTTGTTGCGAGAGTGTGTGTATGTGTGTGAGTGTGTGTGCAGGGAAGGGGCAAAGAAAGAGGGAGAGAGACAATCTCAAGCAGGCTCCATGCTGTCAGCATAGACTCTGATGCAGGGCTCGATCCCATGAACCATGAGATCATGACCTGAGCTGAAAGGGATGCTCAACCGACTAAGCCACCCAGGCGCCCCTGGTTTGCATTTCATTGATGATCAATGATGTTGAGCATCTTTTCCTGGGCTTTTTGGCTGAGTTAGCAATTTGCTTACAGGCTGAGTTATTTCCTTTTACCTTTTTATCTGAGCTTCTTTTCCATTTCTACCCTTGAATTTAAATTGCAGCTTATTTTCTTTTAAGTGTTGCAGGACATTTTATAGACCATCTGAAATTTGTCCCAGGCTTTGATGATTCTCATGTCACCCTAGAGAAAATGGTGGAGGTGGGGTAGATTCAGGACCATATGGGGACAAGTACAGGGGAAGAACTGAGTAGGGGATCAAAAGCTGGCTTCCCCTTCACGCTTCATGGACAAAAGCAGCCCGGGGGGCTTGTGAACTGGGTGCTAATTTCAGAGGATGTGCCCTTGTGTGTGCTATTGCCATAATAACAGCTCCATGATGCTACCACACAGTTAGGAGAATGCCTCTGTTTTGAGCCTAAATGACATAGTCTTTCATGTGGGACTCAGGCACCTCTCTTCTGTGTCACAGGGTGACAGGGAACAGCTTTGGGGGATGGAGGCCAAACCAGTATTGCCACAGGGCCTATGGTCCTGAATTCTGTGCAATGTGTCTCTTTATTTTATGTCCCTTTCCTTTTTAAGATCCACTGAGACCTTTTTTCTTTTTTTTTTTTTTACATGGTCACACCATGGCCACCCCATGAGACTTTTTTTTTTTTTAATTTTTTTTTCAACATTTATTAATTTTTTTGGGACAGAGAGAGAGACAGATCATGAACAGGGGAGGGGCAGAGAGACAGGGAGACACAGAATCGGAAACAGGCTCCAGGCTCCGAGCCATCAGCCCAGAGCCTGACGCGGGGCTCGAACTCACGGACCGCAAGATCGTGACCTGGCTGAAGTCGGACGCTTAACCGACTGCGCCACCCAGGCGCCCCGAGACTTTTTTTTTTTTTTACATGGTCACACCATGGCCACCCCATGGCCATCATAAGAAGCCTCAGAGCTAATGATAGTTAAAATGCCTCTCGGAAATTAAAAGCCCAGAGAGTTGGTTGTGTGATGCTCCTATTAGCAGACTGCCGGCAAATTAATTCTGTAGCATTTGAGCATGTTTTTGGCTGAGGTGGCCTGTGCCCCACCTTCTCATCTCCTTCTCCAGAGGAGTAAGGCCTGGGGTCTTGGGTGAACCTGTACTCCAGTGAGAAGTCAATTTAGAAGCACCTTTCTAGCCCTGAGGAAAAGGTTCCTCATTCAGTTTAATTTTCAAAAGTTGCCTTCCTCTTTCCACTTGATGGAATTCAGCCAGAGTCCAGCTGTGCTCCCTGATTGACAGGTGGGGCTAATTTCATGCCTTTCTGAGAGTTTGCATGTTGGGTGTGCTACTGAGTTACAGGTAGAGCATTACCTCCCATGTCAGCCTTCCCTCCATCTCCTGAGCCAGAGCTGGGAAGGTGTGGGAGAACAGTCCAGATGGAAAGGGACTGCGATTATTGGTGACCCAGTTCCCTTCCGTTGAAACTGCCATGCAACCCAACTCAGTGAAGGAAGGATGTCGATAAGGTGAGAGAAAAGTGAGGTTCTGATGAGTGTGGGACAGACTGGGCTGAGCAAAGATGTGATGAATCATATATTCTTTTTTTAATGTTTTTTTGTTTTTGGTTTTTTGGGTTTTTTTTTGAGAGAGTGTAAGTAGGGGAGGGGCAGAGACAGGGGGACAGAGGATCAGGAGTGGGCTCTGCACTGACCGTGGCAAACTTAAGCACCGAGGGATCATGACCAGAGCTCAACCGACTGAGCCACCCAGGCGCCCCAATGTAGTCTTAATACTGGAGCCCAGGTGTTTCATTGCAGAACCTGTAACTATTTTTTCCCTTTCCAAGGTGTGGAATGGTGCTTTATTAACCTTTACCTCACTCTTCTTATGCAGATGATCAGGCTTTTGTTTTTGTTCAGCTGAATTCAGTTCAGTGAGCACTTACTGAACCTCCCTTATATTCAGTGAATGTCAGCAATTGGTGAGAAGGAGTTTTCTTGGCACCATGGTATGCATTCATTAAGAGTCTAATGGAAGAGGAAGAATGGAGGCAGGTGGTGGAGCCAGGACAGGGTGGAGAGAATTTCCCTGAGGAGAGAACCAGGAAACCCTTTTAGTTTAAATCTGAAAATAACCTTGGAACTCTGGCCTTTAAAAAAAAAAAAAAAAAATGCGTTTTATCATAGCATCTTAATAGGTACTCTTTAAGAGCTGGAGAAGAATTTCACCACTGTGGCCTCTTGGATGGCAAACACTGCCTTTCAAAAGTAGTAATTTTTACTTTGTCTTTAAAGGATCCTACTGTGAGAATTCCTGAGTGTATATGGTAACATGGTTAGAATAGAGCTGGGCAGATGGATGACCTTCAGTAAACATGGTCGGCACTTTTATGGGTTTTGATATTGTCATTATTTGCGTTCAGTTATGGGGACATTTTATGTGGGAGCTCGATTTTGTTTTATAATTAGAACCAATTTCTGGTTCTAATTCATCATTCTAATTTAATTTTAGATCCTTTGACTTCTGGTAACGTAGAAATTCAGCTATTCCCTGTGACTTCTTCTCTCTGCATATGGCCCTTGTGTTTGCATTGGAGCTGTGAGCTGGCCCTGTGGAAGAACATTGCGTCCCTGCTGTCGTTAATCTGAAATGACTAGAGGTGGTTTTTAAAGCCAGTTAATTCTGTGCTAGTATTTTAAAAATCCTGGACAGCATCTGGTTTCTGGTCTCGGCTTTTGTTTTGTTTTCCCTCTTGCTTTCTTGAAACCTTCCTTCTTTTTTTTGTTACTTCATTTAACCACATATCATATGCCAGGTTTCTCTTGGAATTGGAAAGACAATTAAGAGAGACATCTTCATTTGATTTGTTTACTTGATCAACAGATGTACCAGTGACTTTTCCTCTTAATCCTTCTTGAAGAGCCAGTTCTGGCTTCTATCTCTGTGTTTAACCTCAGAGCTTTGATAGATAAAAAAAAAAAGGACTTGAAGTAACAACGGTCAGTCACCAGTTGAATTGAGGCTTTGAGATTCAGCCCGGTCCTAGGAGGTGGCACTCTGCCTTCATTTTTCTTCCCCTGGGTCGTCTCCATGTGCCAACTTCCACTGAATTATGGGGCTGTAAACTTGTGCTTGTACCCTCACCAACTTGCAGTCTACACGTCTTTCTTAGTAAATCCCAGAAAGTGCAACCATCAGTATTTCCCCACATTATTCCCACAGATGCTTGCTATGTGTCTGACACTGGACTAGGGACTGGATGTGGTGGTAAGGAGTTTGGTGTTGCCCTTGTTTGGTGGAAGACATTAGGAGAAGAATGAAACATTACTGAGCCCCACTGTAGGCCAGACACCTCAAATGTACAACCTCACTTAAACCTCTCCCCCGCTCAGAGTAATAGCCAAATCAGAGCGGCTCAGAGAGGTCAAGTGCGTAGTGTTTCTGCACTTGGTGTTACTGTTGCCCCTTCATTTACTGAACTCAGGTAAATAAGTGATTTACTCCCTTTGACTTTGCATTCACTTCTATGCTCCAAGCCTGTTGTGTTTGAAATATGGCTCTCTATTTGAGCTCATTTGAATTAATGAATCT